CTCACAGATGTAAGGTTAAACATGCTAATTACTTCTTACAGATGTGAGGTTAAGCATGTTAATTACTTCTTACAGATGTGAGGTTAAGCATGTTGATTATTTCTTACAGGTGTGAGGTTAAACAGGCTGATTACTTCTTACAGATGTAAGGTTAAACATGCTGATTACTTCTTACAGATGTAAGGTTAAACAGGCTGGTTACTTCTTACAGATGTAAGGTTAAACATGCTGATTAACTTCTTACAGATGTGAGGTTAAACATGCTGATTAACTTCTTACAGATGTGAGGTTAAACAGGCTGGTTACTTCTTACAGATGTAAGGTTAAACATGCTGGTTACTTCTTACAGATGTAAGGTTAAACATGCTGATTAACTTCTTACAGATGTGAGGTTAAACATGTTGATTATTTCTTACAGATGTGAGGTTAAACAGGCTGGTTACTTCCTACAGACGTGAGGTTAAACATGCTAATTAATGAATGGAAATTATTAAGTGTAGAAGCGTACAAAAAGTACTATAATAAAAGTTAAAATACATCTTTTTACCAGAAATACTTATGAAACAATCTATTGTCTATATATTTGTGTATCCGTTTGTCTCCCTCTCTCTCTTTATACTTATATATATATTCACCTACACACACACACTCGCATAGACATTTCTACTTGAATTTGTATATACTAACTAATGCAGGACATCCGTTTTGTTATTTTTCATGGTTGATAAGAGGTCAAATATTGTAGGCCATAATCTGGCCTCCATATTTACAGAATGAAGAGAGTTGGAACCGATTAGTGACTGTGACTACAACACAGTTTAGACACATTGTTAATACTGTTGTAGAAACCAGTAACAGTGAAAATATAGCTAACAATGAACAAGGTAATCTTAACATAATGGACGTATCTATCTATATATGCGACCGAAATAATAAATACAATGTGACGCCATCTAATGAATGGCAACACAAACAAAAATCTATAAAATATTTCACACTTTAGGTATTCAAGATTCAGACTATTAGAAAAATAACTACGGTATGTGTAACAACCATTTCTGTATTAAAGAACACAATTTTAATTAAAAGTACTCTCCTCACAACAAGAACACGACTTTCAGTAGGACTGTACGTGAGGGTTTGATTATATCTTTACTGATGTAATTTGTAAATATAGTACTAAAAAACCGTCATGTTTTTCAATAAAGGGTAGTACTATATAAAAACATTACAGTTTATATCAGCACAATCCGAACACTTTTCCTATGCAGTCTTCCCGGAAAAATTCCTGGTTAGAAACTGTTCACTTTTTCTAAATTCTTTTCAATAAGGTATGAATATTACGATTAGTAATTATTAACACAAACAGCCGCCCGTAGGGAGGCGTTTCTGTCAGTATATCTAATTTAGAATAACCAGCAAAAAAAAAACAACAAACAAACAAAAAAAAACACCAACAACAAAAACAAAACCAAAACAGGATACTAAATCCTTGTACAGCGATTGGATAAAATGAATAGTAAATATCGGTTTGAATGACTACTAATCTGGATTACCAAAAAAAGGATATGGGAAGCATTATACAGGAGTCTGGCTGAAAAACGTGACACGAATATATAGAAGAGGCTTAGCCATGATGCACTACCTACCCTCACTAAGATTGAAGCGAATAAATGTGACTGGAAATGAATTGTATCCGTATTGCATTACACTGAAAGGTAACAAATGACATTCAGTTGTATGGCAAATGAACTATTATTAAACATGATTTGAAATTTATGTTCAAGTATTTTAGGAAGAACATGTGAAACGTGTGATCATTGTTGCTTATAGTGGTATAAGAAAAAAGATCATAGTTACAAATTAACTGAGGTATGTAATTTTATCAATACCTTAGACACAATTATCATATATAGTTATTGATGCGATATATAAAAAACAGGAACAGTAACATATTTCACAGTTTAGAAATAATTAAAGAGAAAGACAAAAGTATGCCATTTTATCAATAGACTGAAATCACCCATTATATATGATAATATATATAGGCTTAACAAAATGTTGAATTAGAATTATAAAACTCCTCGATTCAAGAATATCAATGATTTACTTCTCTCATGTATCTTTGGATTTTTTCCTCACGTTGGATGCTAACAGATAAAGGATCATTGTTTAAGGTTTTAAATTTTGTAGAATCGTCCAGAATATCATGTATTTTATTAAGGTGGTCATTCTTGTTCAGAATAATAATGGTGGCATTGCCTTTATCAGGGCGTGTAACATGGATGTTTTTATTTAGTGACAATTCTTTTAAGGCTAAGATTCCGTCAGGGGTTCGAGAGTTAGGACTAAAGAACAAAGATATTATATCAATGATTTATTATGGATCAAAATATTATGTAATTTCCTCATTTAGAATATTTAATTTGTTTTTGTATGTGATATATATATATATACTAATGATTATTACGTTATATTTCGCATATATATAAATGACTAATTGATTTTCAGATTAAATCTTGTAAAATAATCGTTTGGTTGTTTCAACTAAATTATTTAAAACTATCCCTCAAACATTTTGCAGTTGTCGATTTGAAGTTGCTGACTGAGGCCAAAAGGAATCGTGATTTCAAAACACCAGCCATTTTAAATATGTGTGAGTATTTAATAATTATTTATAATTATTATTTATGTAATGAAGAAGATGTCTCTCTCGATGTAATAACTGTTTATTTGATGCCAAACTTGTAAAAACTAGTTTGGTTGTTAGTTAGTTTTGAGTTATATCTCTTTATGCAATGTTTATTTATGTTTTTGGTTTTGTTGTCTATATATATATATATCGTATTACCTAATTATTCATATTTCATTTATTTCATCTCATTACAGTATTTGAGATTAATTTCTTCAATACGGGTAGGATGGGCTGTTTTAAAAAGCATTCGTACTTTTTAGACACAACTAAAAAGGTCGTATACTAATTTTTGTATCTCACGCAGTTCAGATGTAATTGATTTTATGAAACCTGAACATAACTCCTACTGTCTCACTTCTAACTAATTTTAAACTTCATGTTTGATGGTTCATTATCCTCCCCACAACATCCTCTTATTCCTGCTAATATTCTGTGTTTTTTACTGTTTTACACGATTTAAATATTATGGCTGAATTTATGTGCCCTGTTTCTGGAAATGTTTTAATGGATCCACTCTTAACTAGATCTAAACACACTAAGCTGTCAAAATGTACCTTACAATATCAATCTGAATGTTATGTTTACTTCTCGCATCATGTTATAATTTACAGTTTATAAGGAATGCTACTTTTCACGTGATTGTAAATACGTTTTCATTTCGGTTTGAAAATCGTCATTGAACGTCACCAAGATAATTTCCAATAAATAATAATAAAAACAAAAACATACGTACCAAGATTGGACTAAACCTATAATCAACAATAAAGGAAACGCACTGTTTCTGCTCGTTCAACTTTGGTTTAAGTCTATTAATTAACAGACTTTCCTTTATTCTACGAACTTGTTCACTGTTGTCCATAGTGATGATTTTAAATTATCCTCTATTATAGAGGTTCAGTGGTTTTGCGTTTTGGACTTATAGTCGGATGGTTGCGAGTTCAAAGCTGGCCCGCGTCATGGATACTTAACTGTTAGCTGAGGGTTAACAAGGGATAGATTAGTATCCCTTCCAGGGGGAATGTGTCACCGTTCTCCTCCTCTTGTGCCATTGGAACTGGAGTGTAAAAGCATCGACCTTATGTGCCTTGGGCACGGAAAGGGTTTAGCTTAAATTTCTACGTTCATTACACTCACTGAGCCCTACGACACAACATTATAGACTCCCCTCTTAAAAATAAGAAAAAATTCTAGCAATGTCAGAGAAACATCTGAAAACATCCCACTTGCCACAAACTTTTGACGAACAAAGAAGAAGGGCTTAATAACTATTAATCTACCACTGGAGTTCTTTTATTACTGACTTTGATCTTATATGTATATAACTTTGTTTATTGATTACTAACCTTATTGCCCCCTAGTGGCACAGCGGTATGTCTGCGGACTTACAATGCTAGAAACCGGGTTTTGATACCCGTGGTGGATAGAGCACAGATAGCCCATTGTGTGGCTTTGTGCTTAAATACAAACAAACTAACTAACCTTATTTAACATTGTCTTTGATACAATAAGACTTGATATATTTGTTATCGATTTTGACACAAGATGTCTTTGTTACTGATTGCTGACTTTCATTCCAAACTACTTTTTACACCAATTATCGTCCAACTAACAACCTATACGACTTTATTTATTACTGACTATAATTTAACCAACACGACTTTGTTTATCATTATTTTATTTGGTCTAATTCGAATTTGTTTGTCATTAATTGCTTTGGTCTAATTCGACTTTATTTTTCGTTACTTGATTTGGTCGAATTCGACTTTGTTTATCATTATATCTCTTCAGAAAAAGGACCAGAGAATGTTAAAATCTAAGCTAACTGATCGATTTAAGAAAATTTCAAAACCGCTTTCATAAATTTCCAAAAATGTTACAATTTTAATTACTTCCCATACAGGACTATCACGTGATTTATCTGAACAATATTCTCTAAGGTATCAAATCAACGAGTGCTTTGCTTCTTCCTACAATCAATTAATTTCTTCTGCCACCTTCTCTTTCTTTTTAGCCTTCCTAAATGAAATTAGAAGCAACGTAAAATAACTTCCAATAGTTTTATTTTCGTATATTAGGTTTTAAAATTGCTTCTTCAAGTTAAAGTCTATACTTAAACTGATAAAAAAACATGAGACTAAAAAAAAGTGTTTCGAACAACAACAACAAAAAAAAAATCAGGCAAGCGACGTGAAGAAGAGACACTCTGAAAAAAGTGTCTATTTTTCACACATGATACACATGATATTTATAATACCTTTGTTTAATAGATTTGTTAGTGTATTTAGTTTACAGGATTTGTTTAACACAATTCAATGTGTGTAGTTTATAAAGATGTAAATAATACGTCTGATATTGTGTTTAGTTTTCAGGATGTATTTAATTTGATATGACTTACTTTGTATTTAAATTTAATCAACAGTAAGTGGGTAATATATTTTGCATTTAGTTTCTATGTAAGATATAGATACTTAGAACCTTTATGGCGCTTAGAGCATACTAATTACATGGCATTAACTGTAAAATATGACTGATACATTACTGACCTTTTTTATGCTTTGTTAATTCTGGTTTTCGGATGGCCGACTGTGGCTTAGTGGTTAGCGTACGGACTATGTATGGATCTACGGGTCCATGTTGGTGTTCCATTACTGCCCAAAAAAATCACAGTTCACACTTCAAGGGCGAGGGTGCGTTATAAGGGAGACAGTCATATCCCACTATTCGGATAGACAAGAGAAGCTTAAGCGTTTGCGGTAGGTACTGTTGACTAGCTGCTTTCCCTCCAGTCTATCATTGAGGACGGCTAGAGCAACTCGCTCTTGAATAGTTCTGTTCAAATATCCGAAAAAAAAGAAACTTGATTTCTGGTTCTATAGAATCCCAGCTATAGCTTTAAACTTCTTCATTACAACGGTATTTTCATCACAATGTTCCTGCGGTCTTGTACAATTCTATCTATAACTCCATAATCTTCATTATAACTGCATGTTCACCACAATGTTCCTGTATTCTCTATCTCCAGTCTTATATAATTCTACCTATAACTCCATAATCTTCATTATAACTGCATGTTCACCACAATGTTCCTGTATTCTCTATCTCCAGTCTTATACAATTCTATCTATAACTCCATAATCTTCATTATAACTGCATGTTCACCACAATATTCCTTTATTCTTGATTTTGGGTTCTACAAAACGTTAAACTAACCTCACAATTCTATAGTACAATTTCATGTTCATTGTTTCTCTATTATTGAGTTCCGATTCTGCAAAGCTCTAGTTGTCACTATGAATTTATTCAGTACAATTTCTTGTTCATCCCCATTTCTCTATACGTGATTTTCAGTCCTACAAAGCTCTAGATATCAGTCTGCCTTCCTTCAGTACAACTTCATGTTTATCACAGTGTTTCTCTAACGTTATTTCCACGAACAACCATATAATTATTCAATATAAATACGTGTTCGTTACACAATTTCTCTATTCTTCATTTCCGATCCTTTCTTCATTGCAGTGTTTCTCTATTCTTCATTTCCGGTCCTACAGAACTCTAGGTATCATCCTGACTTTCTTCATTGCAGTGTTTCTCTATTCTTCATTTCCGGTCCTCTGTGTCTTGAGATGTGATAATTAAATCCAACATTTCAGATTTTTTTCTTCAAATCACCAATAGTCTAACCAGTTCAATAAGCTGCGACCAATCGAATTATCTGGTGAAGTAAGAATTTTATATTATTCGTCACATATTTTGAAAATTTAATTAAGAAAATTTGGATAACATGTGTGGAGTTTGTTTGTTTGAAGATAAGCACAAAGCTACACAATGGGCCATCTGTGCTCTGCCCACCACGGGTATCGAAACCAGGTTTCTAGTGTTGCAAGTCCGCAAACATTCCGCTGTGCCCCTCAGGTTCCGTGTGTGGAGACACTATAGCTTATAAATCAAGATTGTCTGATTCTGTGGCCCGGTGTGGTATATACTGATTAGCATGCCAGTTTGTGGATCCGAGTGTTCCATTACCCCCCCCCCCCAAATAATAATAATAATGCGCTCCACACTTTGTTGTTGTGGATTCGTTAAAGAAGTGGCGGATCCCACTATTTGATTAGAATAGCCCAAGAATTGGGGATGGATGCTGTTGACTAACTGACTTCCCTCTAGTTTATCAGTTAACAATTAGGAACAACTAGCGCAATTTGTTTTTTTATATCTTTGCACGAATACCCGAATCAACCAGTCAATTAATGTTGATTCTTTTTTAATCTTGCGTTTTTTTTTTATTTTTATTATTCCACAGAAGTTCTCGAGTGCTTCCGATGACTGTCGAGGGGTCAACAACTACCACACAATCTTACGGGGAGTAATGACACAATGACGACGTCATGCACCTACACACTTCTGTTTGTTGTCATCATCACAGAAATGAGGGCGCCACTGTCTTCTGCGTTGTGTGGTGTGTCGGAATTTTCTTGTAATAATGGGAAGTGTGTACGGCAGAACATGTATTGCAATGGTAGAGAAGACTGCGGTGATGGCAGTGACGAGCCACGAGGTTGTGTAGGTAAGAATGACGTTACATTAACAAACCAAACTATTCGCACTTTGATGAGCTGATATTATTTTTTAGTATTTGATTTTTTTTTCTTATTTAGTACAACCGATTCTTTGTACTTTTGGAAATCTTGCTCACGTGATTTTCGTGAAAATTATTCAGTAAACATATCGCTCTTAAACTCACGGGTTCGTGCGTGGCTAAGTGGTTAGTGTACCGGTTTGTATATATTTGAGGGCACATAGATTGTGTTACGTTCATGTAAGACCGCGTTCCGAATGTTTGGGCCATGGGTGCATTATAAGAGTGACAGTCAAACTTTACTATACGAATCCTACTGTTGACTAGTTGACTTTCCTCTAGTCTACTAATTCGAAATTAGGGGCGGCTAGTGCAAATAATCCTCGTGTGGCTTTGCGTGAATATCCGCAACAAACAAAGCAAACCCCAAATCGCACGTGACGCTTTAACCTGGGAATGGAAGAGTAATTGATAACACATCTTATTTTACTTCTTACAGTAATTTACCTTTTATATCCGAACTCTACTTAACGTTGAACATTTAGTCTGTTTGTTTGTTTTGAATTTCGCGCAAAGCTACACGAGGGCTATCTGCGCTAGCCGTCTCTAATTTAGTAGTGAAAGTCTAGAGGAAAG